TGCTGCCGTGTGCAGGTACCATTCGGGTGCGGTGATCACAGTCAGGTGCAAAGCAGACAAACGCTCCTCTGTGAGCAGATGACGGGAAATAAAGAAGCAGACACCGTGCTTTTCAGTTAGTGACAACCCGGTTCAGGAAGGAGACGGAGTGGGGCAGAGATGGGACAGGTGACATTCTCATAAATTGGTTCAGAGAGGTGGAGAAGCTATCCCAGTGTGTCTGACCTGTCACTGAGCCGGGAGGAGTTGAGGACAATGTGACGTGTGACCTTGAGGTGTCCCAGCTGGCGCCCTGGCCACTTCACTGATACACACTGATGTTCGGGAAGCTCCTCCATCCCACTCGGCCCCACTCTTCATCCCTGCAGCAGGAACCGTCCTCCTCCCCCCCAGTCCCGGGGGTGGGACACAACCAGGCCCTGGTGGCTGAGCGTGGTATTTGAATGTCAGTTATCAGGAGAGAGCGACTTTGACATTTTATGGTGATGAATGAAAACATTCAAAGGCAACAGCAGACCCCAGCAGCTTTCCTGGATATTTTAACTATGAATAAATAATAAAGCCCCGAAGACAGTTCGAGTGAGCCGTCAGAGGAGCAGAGTCAGTAGCTCGAGATCCCAGATTCAACGTCTGCTTGAAGGAGCCTCCCTCCGTGGCCGGGCCCAGAAGCAGTGGAGCTTCAGAGCTGGATTCTGTAAGAAGGCCAAAGGAATCAGCGCAGCAAGAACCAGCGAGAGGCCACCTGCCCTGTGCCGAGGAGGACTAAAGGACATGTGCTTTATTTCCTCTATTAATTTATGTATGGATGGATGGATGGATTTTTTGGTTCTAAGGACTGAACCCAGGGGCCCTTTACCACTGAGCCTCACCCTCAGCCCTTGTTATGTTCTATTTTGAGACAGGGTCTGGCTAAGTTGCTGAGGCTGACTCCAATTTTAGAGCTTCCTTCCTCGGCTCCGAGCAGGTGGGATTAACGAACATGCACTTCCACACCTGGTGGCTGGACACCTTGAGAAAAAAAGAAGAATTTAAGACATTTGCCTCATTTCTATCCAAATGCTCAACTCTGGGATTGGGGCCTGGGCAGTAATTCTTAAATACAGGAGTCCCTGATGGTTCAGTGTCCACATGTAGTCTGCAGCCACCTTGAGTGGGTTTTGATCTTTCTGTCCACGTGGGTGAGGATTAAACAGAGATAAGGCTTGTCCAGCTCTTGCAACTGTATTAAAGGGTTTAGTTCCAGAAGATAAATATAAGCTGGGGCCAGGGCACCAGGCAATGAAGCAATTCAAAATGTTGTCAAGAATAACATATTACACAGATTTTATTCTAGTTGCATAATTTTTAGAAAAAAATTATTGAAGTTCAATTTTGATCTCTGCCTGCCCATTGGGCCACTCCCAAGGCAGGTTCATGGGGTTTACATTCTCTAGGAATGTGGTGTGCACAAGACCACACAAATGGAGTGAAAGGGCAGGCCTGGCGAGCCCCCGGGAGGCTGGACATGGAGGGGCAGTGTGATTCGGGTGAAAGGCAAGGAGAGGTGCGGGTCAGGGGCGTGGCCAGTCTGGCACCCATGCTGCACCCTGATTCATCCCTTCCTGATCTCCAGGGCCCACTGCGCATGGACTCTGGGTTCCCTGCACGCGCTGTGGCCTCTCTGGTTTGATAAAGGATCACTGGTCCCAAGAGCTGCTGCCTCTGCTCTGCAGCCACCGAGGTACAGAACAGTTGAGAAGTGTCCTGGAGACAGAGGAGGGGAGAGGCAGGCACCCGGGGCCAACCCCATTCAGCAGCATGAGACGCCTGCAGTTTGCGCAGACACAGCCTCTCGTGGGCCTCAAACCCATCCTGCCAGAGGGGAGAGTGATCCCAGATTCAACGTCTGCTTGAAGGAGCCTCCCTCCGTGGCCAGGCCCAGAAGCAGTGGAGCTTCAGAGCTGGATTCTGTAAGAAGGCCAAAAGGAATCAGTGCAGCAAGAACCACCGAGAGGCCACCTGCCCTGTGCCGTGGAGGACTAAAGGACATGTGCCCCGAAGACAGTTCGAATGAGCCGTCTCCATTTTACAGACTGGAAAGGGGAGGCCAGGGCTCAGGCAGCCCCTCGGTGATAAAGGGGTTCTGCTGTGCGTCGGGCCCTCTGCGTGGAGGAGGAGGACCTGTCCTGCAGAAGCTGTCCGACCAGGGGCAGCCACCAATGCAAAGTCACAGATGCTGCCCCTCCTGCGCCTGCGATGGGTGCCACTGGCAGGAGGCTACGGCAAAGCGCCTCGGAGGGTGGCTCCAGCCAAGTGGGCAGTGCCTGGTGGAGGGTGGGGCACCCGAGGGCACCTGGATGGAACAGGGCTGGGAGGCCACAGCAGGCCCATCTCCCTCCAAAACAAGCCTTGGGGGCCCATGGCAGTTTCTGTAAGACCCTTGTCCAGGAGGTAAGGAATTTGGTTTCCGCGGCGGGTGAAGGCACTAGAGTGAGCCAGAGTGGCAGGGAAGCAGCTCTTTAGGCCCCCTCCCGACCCCACAGGTTGAAGGACATTTTGAACAAAGGAGAAGATGTGGACAGGACAGCCAGAGGGCTTCTGCCACAGCCCTGGCCACAGCCGTGGAAGCCTTAGGAAGGGGAGGCACTGGGGACGGGGGGAGGGGACTGTGGAAAGACTTGGCCATCGCAGCCCAACGTGGAGGGTTGGGGGAGAGCAGAGGGACCTCGGGGATCAGCTGGAAACAGGCGAAGTGTGTCTTATTACTGACAGACGTCACCAGTGCCCATCGTGACTTGCCACTCGTGTTTCAGCACAGAGACAGCTGGGGCCACCGCTGTGTCCCACTCTCATTCCAAACGCCAGTTCTGCAACACCTGCTCCTTTTTCTGGAGAGGTCAGAAAATTGCCACTTTCTCAGGAGACCCCGCCCACCCAGCCTTGGGACGGGCCAGAATGGAGTTCTGTGGAACTGGATCAAGTGACAATGCCTTGGAGCGTGGCACCCCAGAGCGTGGCACCCCGGGGCCACAGGCCCTGCCGGCTCCTGGCGAAGGGACATGGGCTTGCTCGTTCCCCACCCCCGCCCTGGCCACCGAAGCGCTTGCCTCTGCAGTGCCCTTGTCCCCTGGAGCCCGTCTTAACCGTGTCTCGGTGCCCGTGGCACTTTGCCGGCTGCTCTGCACTCCCCAGGCCCAGGAGGGGCTCAACCTGCCCCCAGGCGGCTTATCCCTTCACAGTCCAGGGTCCCTGGGAAAGGTGGACCCCCCGGGACTGGGCCCTGGCCAGCCTGAGCGTGATGGGTCAAGGAAAGGACATGCGCCCTGATGCTGGCCAGTGCGCCCGAGGAGGGGATGTGCAGAGACTCCTGGAGAGGGAGGCCCCTCAGGTCTGGGAGAGCCTCTTCATCATGTTCCGAGGAGCCTTAGCTCACGTGTGGGGGCCAGCCTCTCCCCGAAGCCTGGGAGTCCACCTGTCGTGGTGCGCCCTCCTGGAGCCATGGACTAACCGACTTTGAGGTCCACCCTACCCGTCGTCCCCCAAGTCTACAGCCCAGTAACCTCCTCACGGCTCACGGAGGTTCAGTCGGTTTGGGTTACGACTGAAGGAGCCCAGTGTCCATCACCCCTGCTCAGTAGGTTGGAGGCTTTTATGCCCCACACGTAAAATCATCCAAAGCATGTCTTCTCCGTGTCACAGTGAAGTTCAGGAGAGTGGGTCAGTTACAGCCTCGCACTTTGCCTCTAAGAACCTCGTAGACTCGGACGTAATATGAAGGGCCAGCCACAGTGAAGCACAAGGACCCCACCATTACAATATGTCCTCCCCAGGAACCACAGGAAAGGAAACGGAAAATCTCTCAGGATTTGGGGGAAAAAGAGGAATAATTGCATTAAAATGGTGTTACTGAATGTCTTACAAATACTAGATCAAAATATTGAGAATACTGACTTTTACATTTCCATGAGTAATTTCGGAAGCCACGTTATATGCTTGTATATATAGACAGGGGATAAAGATGTAGAGACAGAGAGAGAGACAGATTTATGTGTCATCTCCAAAAGTTAACTGCAATTAGGTTATTTGCAAACCCTAAGAGGCTGGGAACATTTAATAGTTGCCTGGTTATTCATAACACCCTTTACCTTTGTGTGGACCTCCCAGTTGAACATACTAGTTTATAGAATAAAAAGCAGATCTGGAAGCTCTCAAAGGTGCACATGGCCATTATTTCCATTATAGTGCAAAGACTATTTCGCCAGGAGATAATTCAGGTCACAGTGGCAGTAGGTATGTTTTTGTAAAGATAAAATTAGATTTTCTCATTATTGCCATGAAAATAGAGAGAACACATTGTATTTCATTTTTTTTTCCATTGCAGAGTCCAGAAGTAGATAGCAACATTAGTGATCCTGAAAAATACCAACAACTGCAGTGTGTGTGTGCACATGTGTGTGTGCATGTGTGTGTGCAAGTATGTGTGCATGCTTCTAAAGCAGCAGGTGAGGCTGGCGGAGAGCTGGTGCCCAGCAGGGAGGATGGAGCCTTGCGGGTGCGCCTCTCTGCCAGCCTGGGCACAAGGGTGAGATGGGTCAGTCTCAGTGGTGATCACAGCCACAGAGCTTGGTGTGCAGGTGACAGAACTGCACAGTAGACAGGTCCTCTGTGAATACAGAACAAAACGGGAAACAGCCTGACTCCCAGGCAAGGCAACGTCTGAAAGCTAGCATGGCCCTGGGGGACTGTGGCCACAGGGCCACCATTAGTGCAAACCGGTCCCACCAGATGCCTCACACCCAGAGGAGCAGAGCCCTCGTGGCCAGGGAAAGTCGAGCTGAAGGCCACAGCTCTGTGGTCAGTGCCTGTGCCCAGTGAGCTGCTGTCTCCTCACCCACTCTTCCCCAGGCTGACAGCAAAGCCCAGACTGGAATTTTTTAAAGGATGCTGACCTCTGTCAAAGCATATTTAAAAGGAGCTTGCCACGAGTGTTTTTTGTTGTTGTTTTATTTCTCATTACACAGAGTACAAAGCACAGCTGTGTTCAATCCCGATGGAGCGCATTTCCAGTTTCACACCAGGAACCCTTTAAATGTGGAAGGACTGCTTCATCGCAAATCCCTGAAGCAGGCTTTAGTCCAAAATTCAGTCAGAACGAGAAGCCTCCCTGTGCGTGTGGCCTTTCCGTCAGTCCCTCCTGTATCCACCACTCAGGAAGCAGAGGTGCTCACTGGAGCTCTGTCCCACAGGGCACCAGGATGCAGGTGACCTGCATGGTGCAGGGTGGAGGCCCTTCCTCGCTCAGGTGCAGAAATGGATCTTACATTAAGACAGAGGGGCTGCGGGGGCTTGTGGGTGGTAATTGCATCTCGGCTTGGGCCGAGAACAGGTTTTCATGCTTTGCCTTCTACTGTCGCCCCCAGAGGTGGAAACCTGTATTTAGCTTTTAATAGTGAACACAAATGGTTTGGCCCTGTAGTACGTGAGCCTCAAGGCACCCAGGGCCAGAGGAAATGATGGGGTCAAGATTTGTTGGGGATAAGAGGCCCACCCAGGCTCCCGCGTGGCTCCCAGGTCCTGTACGTGGCACACACAGCTCTCCTCACCCTCTCAGCCCCTTCTGATAACAGGCCTGGCCTCGGGCAGCACGCCCTCTGCCTCCCGCATGCCTCCTCCCATGGGGCCCTTTCCAGATCCCAGGAGGGAAACCCAGGTGGGTCCTTGGTCCCCGTGGTCCCCCTCCTGAGCTCCCTCGGGGCTTGGCAGTGCTAATGCTCCTGACCAATGGCTTGCGGCCCTCCCCCGTGAACCGCGCCTCTGGGCAGAGGCCTTCGCCCCACAGTGCCCCTGGGTTGCAGCGCGGAGCGGGCACAGGGCTCCTCCCTGGGCCCAGGGTCTGAGTGCTTCTTCTTGGTTGATTTTTCTTGGAGTAAACGGGGAACAGAATCACGTGCTCCAACCCCCTCTGTCCTTCGGAACCCTTGGATAGTGGGGAGCAAGCTCTCCTTCTGGGTCCGAATGTCCCTAAGCCACCTCCTCGGGGTTGCTCATGAATTAACATGACTTAGAGGTACTTAGAGGTACTCATGTAGCAGTGGAATAAAAAAACCCTAGAAATGGCTTTCCCCTTCTGTTTTCTCTTCACAACCCACCTTTAAAACCATGGGTGAGGGGAGCGGGGGCACCTGGGCCGGTGGTGAGGGGGGCACAGCAGCCTGCATCTGCCACCAGTGTCCCCAGGGTGGGGACAGCCTGTGGGGAGCACGGCCTGGCAGGGGCGCTGGGGGCTGAGGGGGAGGAGGGGCTGGTCAGTGAGGAAGACCCCTGGGGAGAAGAGGGCAGGGGTGTATTGGAGGGGGGTTTCCAGCATGGAGCTCCAGATAAGGGAAAATTGGAACGAACCCTATGTCGTTAGATTGAAATTGGGCTATTTATAAAAACCAAGTCGTCGTGTACGTATGAAATGATTGTATCCATATGAAAACTTTACGACTTATCCATGATTCACACAGGTCCATGAAAGACACGGGCATACGTGTAGGTAAAGAAATAAGCCCAGCGGTCAGCCCAGGGTCCTGTCGGTAACACAGACTCGTTCCCTAGTTCCCCACCAGCACCCTGAGCGCCCAGGTCTGTGCCGGGGCTCGAGGGAACGTCTGCAGCCACGCGGGAAGGCCCAGTCACACGGCACCCGTCAGGGTCGGGAACACCCTGCGGTCCCTTCTGTGAGGTTGCTGCCCAAGGTGTGGGCCAGGATGCCATCCCGAGGACGCTCTGAAACACCTCGCCTGCGGTTTTCCAAACGGCCTCGGCCGAGAAGTCAAGGAAAGACACGTGAAGGTTGGTGACAGCTGAACCCAATGTGGAATTTTGAACAGATTTTTTTTTCCTTTAAAAACTATTGAGGCCACTAGCAAAACTTAAGAGTCAAAGAATTCAATGTTGGTAATGCATCCTTGTTGACTTCCCGTTCTGGTGGGTGTGTCCTGGTTCTATAGGAGACCACTCTTGCTGCAGGAAGTACCATCAAAGCATCAGAGTGACTTGCTCTCAAATGGCTCAGGACAAACCTCTTTGTCCTCTAAGTTTTGGATTGTAAAAAAAAAAAAAAAAAATTAGCTGGGCATGGTGTAATCCCAGAGCTTTGGGAGGCTGAGGTCAGAGGATTGCATTCAAGGCCAGCCTCAGCAATTTAGCAAGGCCCTCAGCAACTTAAAAAGGGCTGAGGATGAGGCTCAGTGCTTAAGCACCCTTGGGTTCAATCCCTTGTATCAAAATTAAATAAATAAAATAAAAAATTAAGCACATAAATGTGCCTTTATGTGTAACACGTTTTTGAAATATCAACTATTTTGTAAGGAAAAGTTTTAATGACTGTTGCAGATTCGTGGAGCAGTTAAAGGGGCACATCCAAGTCAAAGCGAGAGCTTCCTCCTGAGTCTTGTCACTCCATGTCCCCCTCATCCAGCTTCACATCCTTCTAACTCTGCACCTTTAATCTCTTCCCCTGGTCTGTGCCAAGCAGCAGCCAGCACAAGGCACCAGGAGCCATTATCCCGGGAAGCGAGCTCTCAAACTCTGCTATGCTAACGAGTCACTCAGGGACCCTGCTTAAAATGCAATCCTCACCCTCAGAGACTCCGATTCTGTAGGTTTGGGGTAAGAACCAGAAAACCTTCTTTTTTTTAACAAGCAATCCAAGTGATTCTGACGTAGGTCATCCCTGGGCCAGACTTTGAGCAATACTGAACTTGATTAGTGGCCCTCGGTGGCACCTGACAGACATTGCAATTGAATGCCATGCTGAAGGTTGCACCGTGGAGTTACAGGCAGCTCAGACAGAGGGGCGGGGCATCTCCCAGCTGGCTGCAGTGCAGCCCCATTTAATTTTAAAACCGCAAATTAACAACCTCTGATAAAGTCGGAGCACCCAGGTGTTCTGAGACCTCAGGTGCACGTCTTGCTGACGAGACGAGGGGATTCTGCAGGACACAGAGGACTTGGGAGCGCTGAGTCAGGGAGACCACCTGAGAAATATTTCTACACCGTGAGCATCTGCTCTGTTGTCCTGGTTTGGAAGAGAGCGAGGACCACTCAGGGCCCTTTGGCTCCCGCCAGTGCTGGCTAAGGTCCCCTGAGAGTCTCGCTGGCCACCCGAGGCCACCAGTGTCCCCAGGGTGGGGACGGCCTGTGGGGAGCACGGCCTGGCAGGGGCACTGGGGGGAGTGGATGGGAGACCCTGCTGGAAGGAGAGGAGAATGTTTCGTGTTTTTCTCGTGGAAAACCCCACGGGAGTTTGAAAACATGCAGCGTGTCCAGAAGCGCCTCCAACGTGCTGGGCTCTAGGGCAAGCGCAGCCTGCGTGGAATCGGGAGGTTGAGCTTCAAGAGGAGCCAAGCCCTGACCCACCTCCTGCAGCTCTCTTGGTTGACAGAGGGGGAGAGGGAAGGAGCGGGATGTGGGGGGAAGGAGTGACGCAGCTTCCTTCTCCCGTCTTTGCGTTTTGAGAGTGTGGGTGTTATCTGGGGTAGCGACCACCGATCCTGGGCTGAGTCTCACCTGCGCTGTCTGCTGGGACCTGGACGTGACCGTGTGGCCATGCAGGTAGCGAGCTTCCCGGCACCAGGCAGGGAGAGCAAGTCACTCGCCCTGAGTGGGGGGGGGGACTGGCCACCTGCTCCTGTGGGTGGCACAGACTCAGAGAGGTGGAGAGGGTACACAGCAAGGCCGATGCAGGCCTCTCCCCTCCTCCTAGGCGCACATGCTCAGGGCCCAGGAGGAAAGGAAATTACATGAAAAACGGCTCCATCCCCATTCTGCAGCCCAGAGGAGACCTGAACATGGTGCACATCACTGTGACCCCCGAGAACCGCCTTTAAATTGGTGCTCCCCTCTTCTTCCACAGCTGAGAGACTCCACTGGTCCCTGAGCAGATGGGGTGACCACTGATATTCGGGGTTGAGCTCCGACTCCAGAGTTGGGGACCCTGGACAGGCCCAGCAACAGGGCTGCGCTGACCTGGCCTTTGCCTGCGCTTGCTTCGTCTTCTATGAGGTTGTGGCGTCTGCTGGGCCCTGGAGCCAGGGAGGCCCGTGGCCGGGAGTCGTGAGCCGTGGGAAGAGCTGCTCACTGCTGCAGACTCTGGCGAAGACGGGGCGGGTGACGGGGCACCAGGGCCAGTGCCCAGGGCTGGCCTGCCACGAGCCTGCTCCCTCCCGCCTGACCCCTGGAGTCAGAGGTCCACAGCCGTTCATCTTGAGCTGGAAATGTCACTCCTGAGTCAGGAGAACCAGGGGTCCCGGCTCTCATGTCACCTGGAGGCTGCCCAAGTTCCTGTGCTCCCCCCACCCCTGGGGGTCCATGTGACCACCTGAAGGAGGAGGGGTCGGAGCTGGTTCACGGTGGGCTGCTCAGTGTGGGGAGCTGCACTGCGGCCAGGTTGGGAGTCTGGTTTGGAAAGACCGTTGCCGGCACCGTTCTGGACCTGCCTGTCCTCCACAGGTTTGGGAGGAGAAGTCACAGGGTCTTGACTTAACATCTGGGCAGCCGTCTTCAACGTGAACGCCACCTTATGAGGTAAGGTTCGCTTTCCTGTTCTTCCCCTGACCCGCACTCCCGCCCCCATTAGTGACCTACCCCATGTACCATGACCCCAAGCCAATCCCAGAGGGACAATCCCTTGACTCTGGGAAGCCCCCCGGAGCCATCGACCTGAGCCAATCCCATGCTGTTCCCACCCACCTAGCTCTGACCCCAGACCCCCAGCCTCTCCCACAGCGCCACAGCTACACCGCCAAACCCCTGAACCCCCGACATCTCAGGCCTCTCTCCATCTAGGGACAGATGGCCTTACTGGTCAGCGCTGACCGATAACCCTTGTGTGGACTCTGCCTGGTCCCTCCTTCATTTCCCGCTCACCCCTCTCTTGCTCTCTCACTTCCCTTTCAGAAGTGGCCTGAGGTGAAAATATGTGCGTGTCCCCTGGCCAGTGGTCAGTGCCTGGACAGGTGATTCCCCACGGGGGACACCTTCCTCCCATTCAGGCTGGACTTGGCAAAGCTAGAGCTCTTGGCCCCCAGGGGATGTGGGTTCTTTCCAGGAGGTAGGGTAAGGGTCCCAGTGGGCATTTCTGGTTGCTGGTGGGCACTTCGACTCTGCGTCCCTAGGGGTCAGCAGTCGGGCAGAGGGGTTGTCCTCTTAGCAGCTAAGTGACCCTGCGAGCAGAGGAGAGGTTGCTGTTTAGGTGACACCAGGCCTGGGCTCCAGCGGGGGTCAGGTGCTGGGCCTCTTGGAACATGCTTGTCCAGTCCTGGGCTCCAGCGGGGGTCAGGTGCTGGGGTCTCTTGGAACATGCTTGTCCAGTCCTGGGCTCCAGTGGGGGTCAGGTGCTGGGTCTCTTGGAACATGCTTGTCCAGTCCTGACTGTGCCTGGGGTCTAGCGAGGCTGGGCAGGGGCCCAGATCCTCCAGTTTCAGTTTCCCAGGGCTAAAGCAGAACTCCGTTCCCTCCGGAAGCCCGAGATCCCGTGGTCAGCCGGGCCTTGCTCCGCTGAGACGGCCGGGAGGACGTTCTCTGCCTCACCCAGCTTCGGGCTCCTCGTCTTTGGCTTATGGATGGTCACTGCAGCCTCTGGCAGAGTGCCTCATCCTGGGCCCAACCAGTCACTTCCCAAAGAGCCCCATTCTGGGGGAGGGCGGGAGCACCCCGCTAGTGGACTCGCGGGGCTGCGGTCCAGGTCTCGGGGTGGGACACGCGCAGCCCAGATCTCAGGGCTGCCCTGCAGCAGGGGGCGGGGGTGATATTCTGTACATGTCACTTTCCTTTGTGTCTTTGTCATGGAACACCACTCCTGGGGTCAGCCCATCACCTCTTTTACTGACTCAGAGATGAAACTGAAGGTGTGACCCCTGCCGGACAGGAAGTCTCTGCTGGGCTTCTGCGTCTCGGTGGACCCTCTGTAGGACAGGTCTCTTCCCCTCCCAGGGAAACGATTCCGTCCTTATTTATGTGGAGCTCATCTCTGTTTCCACACGGGCGGGAAGTGACATTGTACTGAGGTCAGAGGCTGCCTCTGTCCTGTGCGATCGTAGAGCCCAGCTCCACGGCTGGCCACTGACAGAGGCCAGACACTCCTTTCAGGCAGGTCCCAGTTCCAGAGGTCCCTGCCGAGCATCTGCTCTCCGCTTCTAGGATGGCCCCTTGGAGGGCACCTCCTCAAGTGGGGACGCCGTCTGTGCATGGCAGCTGGGGGACAGTGAGCCCTGGCCATTAAGTTTCAACACGTGCCACAGCCCTGACTTTCTTTAGAAAACCAAAAGTACCAGCTGGTGCTCTTTTGTCCACAGGTGATTCCAACTTTAACCGTCTTAATTAAAAGGGTAATTGGTTAGATGACTTGCTGAGGTTCTCAGGCATGGATTCAGGCATGGCTGGATCCAGGAACTCAAATGTTAAATCCGGTCAGGATGCTCCCTTCCCATTCTGTCGCCCTCTATCTGAGCTGGCGGCCTCTGCTGGGTTCACAAGATCTGACTGTTCCAGTAACTTCAGAAACGGCGAAGAAAGTGCTCGACACACAGAAGTACTTTTCAAACTCTGAGGATGGCTCTGGGACCTTAGGGGTCCGTGGAAAGAGAGAGAGCCACTGGGACTCTTTATTCTTATATAGGGGTCACACAAGGGGAGGTTCCATGGAAACAGGGAAGAGGGGTGGGATTACAGAGGAACAGGTGGGCGGAGCTCAACCCCATGGTGACACCTGCTCCTGGAGCCGCCTCCTCATCCCAGCAGGAGGGCCCAGTGTACTGCGGGGGCAGTAACTGTCCAGCAGCCCTTCACCAGGACTTGGAGGGTGACATAGCTTCTGTCCACAGCGGCTCTGGACACCGTTCCCCTCCAGGATCCCTTCCCTTTAAAGACTTTG